ATGGTGATGGCGATGATCGATAATGGCTGTGGTGATGGTGATGATAATGATGGTGGGGATGATGATAATAATGGTTATGGTGATGGCAATGATGGTGATAACGATGATAGTGATGATGATGAATGACAGCGATATTGTTGAGCTATAGGAAATCTTAAAAAATAAACAATAAAATAACCTCACCTTTTTAGTAAGTGTTACTGGAATATTCCCTACAAATACAGTTCTTTCTTCTCTTTCTGGATCTTCTCTCTTTTTCTTTGCATGTGATTCATCTTTATTTTCAGGTTCTTGAGCTTCAAATTTGAAGAGTGCAATTAATATAAATTACTTCATTATTCTATATAAGGCCAAACAAAAAAATAAGTGTGTTTCCCGTTGCAAGACCGACCCTAATTTTCTTGCCGATTTTGCCAACCCTAATATTTTTTCATTCCCAAATGCACCACAGGGTTCCCAGTAAGCTCATTTCCACTGTTATATCAGTAAAAAAAATTGACCTACCGACCCCAATTATTCTCTCATGCGYGGGAAATGCACTTATTCTTTTGTTTGGCCTAAKTACCWAATAAGTCTTTGGCAATTTTAGATGCTAATATAATGCAATTGATACATCAGTGTGAATTGTACATACAGTACAGTGACAACAATATTGGCTCTGAGTCCAATTATTTTGATTGGATGAGCAATAATCTGAATTCATGTGATTGGTTCAACTCTATAATGTGTTGGTGCCGTGGCGCAATATAATTTCACAGTTATACAAAATCTACTCTATTTCCAGAATATATCCAGTGAATTATTGCCTTGTATATTTACCTGCTGATGTTTTACTGTTTGTTTTCTTCTTTTTACTTTTTGGTTCCTCTTCTGTAACTTGCTCCTTGTTTGCTTTTCTTTTCTTTTTCTATTTCAAAATAATAAAGTTACATGATAAAATACAATAACTTTTATCAAAAATACACCAAACGACCTCCTATCCCTCAAGAATCCCTACCCCCACCCCTCACACACAAACTCATGGCCATGTGTTTTAACAGTTGTAAGGATTCTGAAAAAGTTTAACGTGATGTGRCACAAATTTGAAATTTAAGGGGGTGGGGGTGGTGGTAAACTTGCTCTTTAACACAGGGTTCCCATCTGTGCCAATACTCGTCAATGTAATGACACATGCTTCTATTTCCATACATAATAATTTTACAATAYTAAATCTAGAGTAAGCGGCAAATATCTATATGATAAATACGTTTYCTTAGGAAAAACTCGAGCAAAAACTAAACTAATGCATTCAGATAAACACCAAAACACAGCCATGTTTTACCTTCTCTAAAACAGGAACAAAAACCGGTTGAACAGCAGAACTTGAGCTAAAAAGGTTCTTTAGACCACTACTGGTGTCACAATCCTGTTTTCTTTTGTGACTTTTGGATAAAACCTCCGAAATTTGTCCCACAGCGAATGACTCTATCAMACCACCAGAAGACGCCATTTTGTTCTGAACTGAGGGAAAGGCAACCTCGTTCCCAGGGCCCTCTCGGCCCGACTCCAAAACAAAATGGTTGTCGTCGGCGACCACAGGTAGCCCACGATATCTAATCGTATTTATCAAATCTTTATCGGAAAGGGTGGGGGAGGGGGGGGATGGCTGTAAGATTTTTAAAATTCAATATTAAACATTAAGGAACATTTTTTTCTTATTTGTTGACTTCGAGGTATATCTTTTGGGTAATTAGTTTTATTGTACTTTCTCTAACCATTTACACCATCTCTGATTTACCAACTATCATACTAAACCAACTAGATATTTTTGTCTCGTTCAAGATCTGACCGTGCCGATCATTAAGAAGCCTTTCTTGTTCAAAGATGACCACCGAACCACCACTGGGTTGTCGCGCTGCTGTTAGCGGTACAGCGAAAGTTGGGATTGGTGACACTGTAATAACCAAAGTTATCTTCGCCGTTTGACACTGATCCTGCCACTGGTACGAATCCACAGCCACTAGAACCACTGTCAATGTGCAAGCTGAATGTGTTCAGTTGTTGCCACCAGCGAGCAGTCGTGTGGATGCCGATATGTCCACGGATGTTGATGTACTCCACTTTCTTGCACACTCCAACACCAAGGAAGGTCATGATGTCGAAGTCACTGAAGTTTCCCCTGACGTAGTCCCTGTAGTCTACCCCGTGTGTTGGGTAACTACACGTGCCTCTCCAGTGTGTAGAGTGACTCTTGATGGACTGCATACGAGACAGCGTCTGCCGGTACAGGTTAAAGTTTGGTGCGTTCTCGTTGACGGGAGCGTTTGTGCTGCAAACAGAGGATCTGAACTGACTTAATGCGCGATTCTTGTTGCTCCAAGACATGACGAGGGTCCATGCATTTCCTGGCTCTGTCTTCATATCACAGTAGACAGGAAAGCTGTTGCCAGCGTCATTATAGATTCTGTACACTCCAGATTCGGTCGCACCGGTGTTCAGGTAGTCCAGGCAAGACTTGTGGAAGACGTTCTGACTGGGCTTGATAACTGGACAGCTTTTGCCCTAAAACAAAGTAAAGATCAATTCCAAACGAACTTTAAAGTGTTCATCAATCAAGCTTTTGTGTACATGTAGTGCCCGAAAATGCCTCGTTTTCAATGTTAGTCTTATAACGCTACTTTCAAACAAGAAAAGAATCAACCCACGGCTCTAGATCGTGGACGCATTTCAACTCACGATGGACGAGAAAACGGGAGAGCCTTTGTCTCCTTGTGCTTCATTTGTAAAAAAAAACGTAGGTCAAACGTAAGCCAAGATTGCTATATTCCTTAATTAAATATGCACTCATAAGCACAAACTATAACCAGCAAAAAAAAAAAAAAAAAAAAAAAAAAAAAAAAAAACACGCACACACGGCAAGACACCTACCGTAATTTGTGCCTGATAAGAGAGACTAAATTTTCATTTAAGAAAGC